GGGTAGAAAGGAAACCACCAGGGTGGGGGTGGAAAGGAAACCACAGATGAATAATGATGATCAAACTATAAAATCAGAGGTAGCTGTATAAATGGCTTCTAAATTTCTTACCTCTCTCTGTGATGAAGCCTTGAGGTGCAAGTTTCATGTGTCAGCAGTTGAGAAGAGGAATTGGCTGCTAATCCTCTTGGCTTTTCCCTAGGTTATCATTAGTCCATTTCTCCTCTTATTCAGGACTATTTGGGTATTGCAGTTGATGGTAAAGAATTATTGATTTGGTGAATGTTGAATAATTTGATGCTAAATTGTTGAGGTTTCTCTTGTCAAAGATAGGAATCATCAAAATAAGTGACTGCTAAGACAGGTGCTAGCGGTGGAGGTAGAAAGGGTTTACTTTGACAATAAATCTTCTACTGAGGCAAACACACACTGATTTGAGAAATAGCTGCATAGAATCGATCATCCAGTATATGAAAACACTTTAATTATTCCAATTAAACTTCCTCCAATTTAAATGTGGCTTCTTTCAGTCTTTATAAAGATGATTATGTGAATGGCTGGGAGTAGATGTGCCAATAACAGTCACAGCTAACTTAGTTTAAATCTACTAAAATATGGCTGTTCCTGTGTATTTAGATTTTTTGTTCTCTTTTGTGCTTTTTTTTTTTTTCAGGCTCTGCTTACTGCTGTAACTTCTCCGTATATAGAAATTCATGAAGGAACAATCCTTCAGACTGTTAGAACCTGTTACAACATCTATCTGGCCAGTAAAAATCTCATTAATCAGACTACTGCCAAGGCTACCCTTACTCAGATGTTGAACGTTATTTTCACACGGATGGAAAATCAGGCTGTACGTAGCTATTACCTTTTTACTGATCTATCTTCTCTAATGTTGGTGCCTTGGAAAAGGAGCCACGCTATTCTACTTTTTGTGCTACCATAATTGAATACCTCTGGCTTTTAATAGTGAAGAGCGCTGAGTCCAGATTCTGCACTTAATCATGTTGAAAGCCACACGCTTCAATCAGGTTTGAAGTATGTTCCTGATAACAGGATATGACCCTCTGTCTTCCACTTAATTCTGCATAAACAAATTGAGAGATGCTGCAAGCTTACAACTAGAGCAGAAAGAATTAGTTTTAACTTTAATCAGCTAATTGTCCTCCTGAATTTGAGACACTTGGTATACTTTTCATGATGTATATCCCTGTTTGATCCTTTAGTTACATTAAGTCTCTGCTTTATCATGTTGCATCTTAGAGAGAATTTCTATCATGCTGGTTTTTTAGATACAAGAAGCCAGAGAATTAGAAAAAACAAATCAACAAAAATCCCAATCTCCTGTGATTCAAACTGTAGCAGAGTCTCCAAAGATTAGTAGACTAAAGCACAACCAACAGGAAATGATGCCTTCAACCCCTGCAAAAGGAGATTTAACTAATGGGGAGCCTGAGAGTACAGAAAATGGAGACCAGAAGCCAGAGAAAGATCAGACTTCTTCAGTTTCTGGTAAATAAGATCATACTGTCTCTGCTGACTCTCTTTGACAATGAGTTCTTCCATCTTTTGTCCTTCCTTGTAACTCAAGCCTATGTTGCTTTAATTTCTTTGTCAAAAGAGTGACTGTGGCAGTGAAGTTATTGAAATGGGGTTTTAATTTTCTTTGTGTATGAGTGTTGTCACCTTTTAGTTGCCCAACCAAATATTCCAGGACGCTGCCATTGACTGCAGTACCTTTTAAACTCATTAGTAAATGGGATATATCTTCCTTGGAACTCAAAAACATTCTCTACCAGATTAAAATCATTTACCAACAAATCCAGTGTTATATTTTTGTAGTAAAATAATGGTGTTTGTATATGTAAGATTTGCATTGACTGTGGCCTTTTGATATTCAGGCTATGGGTGAGTGGGAGGGAAAATGGAAAGGTGAGCTATGGTATTTGGAAACATCAGCACTAAGCTTGGCATTGGCCCTCTTGGAAGAAATTGTATGTGATGTCTTTGTATGCCCTGGACCCTAGTGAATACACACTAAGGTTCCACAGGCAGCTTGTACTTCTGGAATTGCTTAACTTTTGTGTGCTTGGCTTGGCAATCTCCATGTCCTGTTTAAGTAGGGTTTTTGACATAATATGTAAAATAGTGTAATTTTAACAATAATTGAAGCATAGCATTAATATTTTACTGCAGTAATTAAAAAATATACCTTTCCTAATGTAGAGTATCTCATGCATGTATGTATTTTTATATACATTTAAAAAGGCCTTTTAAAATAGATTTAAACTTGCAGTATTCTTAACCCTTCTGTCCTCCTTCCTCCTCCCCCTTCCCCCACCATTTTTTTTTCTTGGTATCAGAAGAAACAACTGAAGGGGGACAGGAAATGATTAAAGACATCTTGGAGGATGTGGTCACATCAGCTGTTAAAGGTAAAATCTTCTATTTGGGAAGAACCTTTCCCAAGCAGTTGTATAGCTGTTTGTCCAGTGTTTTTCTCTGCTGTCTTAAAAACTACACGCCTTGTCAAGGGCACCTAGTGAGCCATTAAGTAGAAACACTCAGCACCCTCCTACACACTAGCTTTTAGTGCATTACAATAACCCTCCTCTGGCTAAGGCTAAGACAGATTCCCTAAGCCATTAGTGCTGATTCTGTGCATTAGCAACGGGAGTGTCACTTGTACACACAAAGCATTTAATCATACAGGATTGATTACATAGATTTCATAGACATCAGGGCTGGAAGGGACCTCGGAAGATCGAGTCCAGCCCCCCGCCCAAAGGGCAGGAAGTCAGCTGGGGTCATAGGATCCCAGCAAGATAAGCATCCAGTTTCATCTTGAAGGTGTTCAATGAAGGCGCTTGAACCACCTCCGGTGGCAGGCTGTTCCAGACCTTGGGGGCTCGGACAGTAAAGAAGTTCTTCCTTATGTCCAGCCTGAAACGATCTTGAAGTAGTTTGTGACCATTCGACCTCGTCATCCCTTGGGGCGCTCTGGTGAACAAACGTTCCCCCAGATGCTGGTGGTCACCCCTGATAAACTTGTAGGTGGCCATCAGATCACCCCTGAGCCTGCGCTTTTTCAGGCTAAAGAGCCCCAGGGCTCTCAGCCTGTCATCGTAGGGTCTGCTTCCCTGACCTCTGATCATGCGTGTGGCTCTTCTCTGGACTCTCTCAAGCTTCTCCACATCCTTTTTGAATTGTGGAGCCCAAAACTGGACACAGTACTCCAGCTGCGGCCTCACTAAGGCCGAGTACAGGGGGAGAATGACGTCCCGGGATTTGCTTGAGAAGCATCTATGGATGCAAGCCAGCGTTTTGGTCG